TTCTGCTTTCGCTGCTTTTTCTCATAGTAGCTTCATCTGGTCTGTTCCTGTTTGGCTGTGACTCCATCCTGGAGAGAAACATCAGCTGTGCTGCTGCCAGCAATGCATTTCTATGTGGATATTCTGCCTGGCTGTGTGTTTGCTGGACGGGGCCGCCGGTGGAGCTGGTTGACTGTTGTCTTTTGTATTTTCTTCTTTTTCTATGTCTGCTTCTGTCTGATTGAACCCCAGTCGGCCTCAGCAGATGGCCGCTCACTGTCGCTACAAGTATGCTTGGTGTGAGGGATTTCTGGAGAGTCAATGAGTCGATGCAATCAGCTGGTTTTCCTTAGATAGAACATTTTTAACCAATTTGATCTGGTTGAATTCTCTCTGTAAAGTGCCTTGAGATGACACGTGTTGAGAATTGGCACTATATAAAACTGAATTGAATTGCGTCAATACTTTTTTTACATTCAGAACTAACTGCATTTACAGCTATGCTTCTGCCAGCTCTGCACATCTAGAGTCTCACATTTATCCCCAAATTCTCTTACATTGGGTGGAGAGTGAGTGAGTTTTTCCTTCCAAAATAAAGGAACTTTAAATAGGCTGTTATAATACACTCATCTACTTTGACCTAAATGCTCATATCTTTGCTAAGAGGAAAAACCTCCATATCAGTCTTAAAACTCCTACTGCATTGGTTTTTCCCCAGTGTATTTAGCTCCAGCTCTGACAAAGCTACTTTATTCCAGCTGAAGCAAAAACATCCCCTCAGCACAAAGCTATCATCACTATTTCATAGTCTTCATGTTTAGCATTTCGTAGGCCACAAAAAAAAAATCTTTCCTCGCTTAAATTTAGCATGTTTGTTGTGTTCCCTTCATGGTGTGGGCTAAACTGGAAGCATTTTACAAATGCTGGTCCTACAAACTGTGTTATTTACCTGTCAGCTCCTTCAGTCCTCTTGATTTCCAAAGCTGGGGTCATGACCCCACTTTGTGTCTTGAGATTCAATTCAATCAACTAATGATAAAATTACATTTAAGTGATCCAAAATATAAAAGCATCTCTTAAAAATGGAAGACCAACTGCTTTGGTTGTGAATGTTCTTTGTAATGTTATTCCAGCCTTTTCGAATTGATATTGCAGAAATGTCTGTAAACTCGACCAACAATTTGGGTCAAAGGTCAACTCTGGACACCTCAGCTGTAGGATGTTCTTCCTATGAGGTCTACATGTTTATGTGGAAGAACACGCCTTGGCTGGCTTCCAGTGGTGCCATACTCTTTCCTTTGAGATGTTCGAAGTTACCAATATCTATAATGGGATTAGAAGGAAGTTTACACATAAGAAGGAAGTTTGTTGCTGGGATTTTTTTTTAGGAGAATCTCGTAAAGGTTTTTATTCGAAACATTAATGTAAACCTTTCTCTTCAAACTTTACATTTATACTTTAATTGGTGTCGGTCTGTTACATGAAAACCTGATAAAAACAATTGGGGGGAATATTTGAGCCTGGTTCTGCTGGAGGTTTCTTCCTGTTAAAAGGGAGATTTTCCTCTCCACTGTCGCTACAAGCATGCTTAGTGTGAGGGATTGCTGAAGAGTCAATGAGTCGATGCAATCAGCT